TCACAGTGTTGGGTGTCCACACCGCCCGCCTGCGTGGCTGAGTGTTAATGGCGACCTTTCTTATACACACAAATTTAGCAGGCTAACACCCTGTGTAAGGTTTATGTCACAGATGCCTTAAAATCATTTTATTTTTACAACAAAGCAAACTAATCCTTGATGCCAAATTACAGTTGTTAACTTGCATTCACGAACAGAAAAAGTAATTTTAGTGGCTGGATGTCCAAATTTGGGAACAAAAATATCATTAACTGGGCTCCTGTTTCCGGCTGGACAATAATAACGGTAAGACCTCAAAGTCAAGCGCGGGAATCAGAACAAAGGAAGAGGAAGCAGAAGAGAAATTGCAATGACCAATAAGAGAAGGAAATATGTGTGCAAGTTCTGAAATGATTGGGGAAAAGAATTTGATTTCGTCCAGGACATCTCGAAGGGAAATGCTGCCTCCAAATATTGAACCATGACTACCATCTGTTGCACAGGTACTGGACAGCTATATAATTTAAGTTATTTTGTCTGATAAATAAACACTGTCAAATTCAAGTTTTTTTTGTGTGTATATGTATATAACGACCCATATAACGAACAGCCCTTTTGAATGTCTCCCTAATTCCGAGGTCTCAAGGTTGGCAAGTATGGTTTACAGCTCCATTACAAATGGTAACCAGTTTGAGTCTATATTTAAACACAGAAGAATGCTGTGATATGTTAAAACATGTTGTACATTTGAACTCGCTCCAGCAATGGTGTTAAATTCAGCTTTTTTCATGACCTGGGTAAGTGTCTGGTGTTTTTCCGCCTAGCACCTGTGCTTTCCTGTGCCCGCCCCTGTGGGTGGAGCCAAAGGCCCTCGTTTGTTTTCCCCAGCTGCAATCCATTGGAGGCAATCACTGAGGTGATACTTACGCCAGCTCAGTCCTCTACTTACTGCCAATTCATCTGCTATATCATGGTGGTAACCTGCCCTCCTTGTCTCTTGTTGGGCATGTTTTTGCCAAAACAAAACAATATGCTAAGCAGTTACAGAATTACACTGTGGTAAGAGAAAGATACCACAAAAGTGTGTGTGTGTCCTCCACTACATTATTTAATTGTTTTTACATTTTCTAACATTCCGTTTAATTATAAAAGTAATATTATAACACAGCTTAACAAATAAATAAACACATCTGTACTGACTGACTGTTTGTGGATCAGACTGAAAGGATATGGACACATGTGTAAATCAAGTAGCTCAAAGCATTTTCTAAGCATTTTTTAATACAGTCAAGACCAATAATCCAGGCATTACAGATCCTTATTCTTATTCATTCACTGTGTTACAAAAATCCATCCTCTTCCGCTTATCCTTTTCAGGGTCGTGGGGGGCACTGGAGCCTATCCCAGCTGCCTTAGGGCGAGATGCGGGGTACATCCTGGACAGATTGCCAGTCTGTCACATGGCTAACACATAGACAGGAGACAGCCAATCGCACTCACATTAACTCTCGCATTCACACCTATTGGCAATTTATTGTTTCCAATTAACCTATCCCCACTAACTGCATGTCTTTGGACTGTGGGAGGAAGAGTACCCGGGGAGACCATGCAAACTCCTCATAGAAAGACCTGGGCCTGATGGTGGAATTGAACTCAAGACCTTCTTGCTACAAGGCAACAGTGCTACAATAAATGTAAATGAGAATCTAAAAAAAATAAAGCTTATACACGTTTCCTTTGAATTCCCATATGGAAAAGATATATATATATATATATATATATATATATAAATATAAATATAAAAATCTTATAAAGTTTGTATCTGTCTTGTGTGAAACTTGTATGAAAAGCATACAAGAGTGAAAACAGATATAAGATCCCTACAAAAATTATATAATGAAACTTGTATGTTTTGGATACTTACTAAAACAATATATGAAAGTAATGAGAAAGTGGCCACTTTCATGAGCAGTGTTGGTCAAGTTACTTGAAAAAAGTAATCAGTAACTAATTACTGATGGACGCTAATGTTTTTGTCACTTTTTATGGAATCAAACTCAAAGTAAGGTCAGTACTTCCACGCTTTAAACGCTGCACGCTCATACCCTCTCCCACAATCGATATGTGATCCATTGTTGATCTGCACACAGCTGTTGTCACTAATGGCTCACTCGCTTACGTCACTGTCGTGAGACATTCTCGCAAAAAAATCACGGTTTTAGTAACGCAGTAACTAACGCAGCGTTCCTACGGGAAAGTAACGGTAATCTAACTTTTCCATATGGGTTAGATTCTTGTCATGTAGAATTTTGTCCACACAGCAGCTTTTAATCAGCCCACAAAAAAGTTTATCACTTTTATTCAAAACACCAAACATATTGTGTGTCTATATCATTGTGGAAAAATTCAGCTCGAGTTCAGACATGACTGTATCTAAAGGAGCCATTAGAAAGCTGAATTCATAGGTAACATGTATACATTCCACCTTTTGTTTGAACAGAAGTCATGTGACACAGCAGCTTTTCATTCTACTTGAAATATTTGTTTACGTGTTAGTTGCAAGCCTGTCTGCTTTACTCTGCAGCTGCTTCCAGACAAGTGGAACAATAGTTTTAATCACAAGGTAACAGGTAAAGAGAAGCATTTGCAAGAAGTCTCTCTCAGCATGCCTTTGTTTTGCAGGGGGGAAAACAACAACATAGCTTTCTCAGGAACAAGCAGGGCAACATCAGCAGGTGAGCCAGGCTTCATTAACTGTTGTAGTTCAACAACCCAGACTGAAGACAAACCACCACCTTAAGTATGTAGAGTTATAGATCATTGGAACAAATGATCTGTGTGTGTGTGAAGCCAAAGGGAGCGAACAAAGACAAGTCCTGTCCATGAAATATGGTATACTTTGTCCAAACAGGAGGACAAGAATTGGATGCAAATCTCATACATGAAACCATCAAAACCAATTTTTGGTACGTTGTTTCAATTAGTGCATAAACATACATATGCAGGAACGATCTAGAAAGAGTGGTCCATGCTTTTATTACTTCACGGCTAGACTACTGCAATTCCCTTTAAAGGATGAAACTCTGAGAAACTTTATTTGTCTTTATTTATAAATCAGTCTGATCGAATGTACTTGGATGAGTGTCTAAAGCTCAGGCTGACTTTTGAGAGAGGAAACATTCACATCTGTTTCTTACATGTATTCAGGGCTCCATCACTGTTTTCTAGAGCAGCAGGAGCCGAGTGAAATACAGAGTCAGCTTTGATATTTTCTTGATTCCAGTCATAACCAATCATAGAGCAAATGTATTAAATAACTTTTTGTACAGAAGCTACAACAACACAAACTGAATCAGTGTTTGATTGCTGGTTTTTATTTGAACTGGTCTGTAGGTGGCAGCATTGTTTATTCTCTATCCTCCACTTTTCCTTTAACCCACTCAAACCCACTTCTTAAAACGACTTATCTAACAGTCACACTCTACAGGGAGAAAATCACCTGTTTTCTCTAAAACAGGTGATTTCTGTTTCCAAGAATTATTTCACTTTGGATCTTGATCTGTGCTCAGCCCAGCTTCTTGCAAACTAGAATCAAAGGACTTTGTAACAATCAAAGTTTGTGATTAGCAGACTTGGAGGAAGAGAGATAACTGCTGTCTGTACCTGTGCTGCTCTGCTGGACTTTGCTGATTTTTACCTGTTTGTTCAGTAAGTGAAATGCACATAATAACAGCGCCGCAATAATGATGCTTTTCACGCTGATTTTGCATGCATGTGTTTAAGGTTAAGGAGAAATCAGGCAGGTACAGCTCATTCAATAAACACACGCCAATATACTTTTTGTGGAGCCTGATTAGCAGATTTGCATTCTGGGTTGAGTTCATATTCAACATATCGACATGTTCGACCTCTTTTATTTCTTCACATATTCTGACAGTGTACCAGCTTCAGAAAGAGGGCAAAGTGCAAAAGACTAAATTCCCTGATTTGTGCTTCAATATGTGGACGCAATTCTTGGTGCCTTTAGGTTCACTTCATAAATTTAGCAGTCTATACTCCAAACACAAAAGTTTGTTTTATAAACACATATGACATATGCAGTGCTATATTTATATACTTCTAAGACTATTGTAATCAAGTTGTTACCACTTTGCTCACAATATCTTTGTCTTTGTTTTCTATTATTAAATACATTATAACAACTGTGATACCTACATGGTTACCATGTGCTTTGAAGAGAGAGTAAATCCTATGAACAGGATTGAGATTTAAATGCAACACACGATAACAAATGAATGAATGAATACAAGATGATATATATCATATGATACAGCTCAGTGGTCTTTGTTTGCTCCTTAATCTGTAGTAGGAGAAGGAGGTTTGCCTTGTTTCCTTTTCTCACCTTTGACCGGGTGTGGTGCTTGTCCTTAATTGCACTCACCTGTCACATGTTATAAAAGGACTGCACCCACCTAGAGCTCACTGCTTCTTCACTCCCACATGGGGCGGCAACTGAGGTGAGTTTTTGTTTGGGTCTCCTGAGTTCACGCATTATTTTAAGTTAATGAGTGACTTAAATCACATTTTGTTTCTTTTCAAAGTTGGCAGTCCATGTGTGTCCTTTAATACTGTTTATTCGAATAAAACGAGAAGCCTGTAAGTAATTGATAACTCTTCATTCACATTCTGACCAGATGAGCCCATAATGGTAACAAGCTCCAACTTCCTCTGAGCCTCCTCCTCCTTAACAGTTGCTATGGCAATTTCATCACTGAAATTGAAATACAGCTCTGCTTATTACACAACGCTTTCTGTTTAAACTTTCCTCATAATGTGGTTGCAAATTTGTTTTGAATGTTTACTCTCTTCCCTCTCCGTTTGTTGTTGTTGGCTGTTTTAACTGGCTTTAATCTAAAATCTAAAATCCATGTTAATCTATGCGAAATTTAAGACAATATTAATAAACAAACAAATGAATGTGCCCACTGAATTTCTTTAAACATTTATTTGGTACAGAAATGTAGAAAATCAAATATGGACCATTAGTAAAAAAAACTGTAATCATCATGGATAATCCTGATTGGCCTCAGTACCACTTACTGTACAGTTTCACCTCTGCTGTCATAAGGACAGACACAGGAGATTTTTCATACTGCATGCTACTACCCTCTATACACAATCTATACAGAGATTATTCAGATGCATTATCAGTCACTGAAGATCACATATTTCAGATTTTTCTTACTACAAATGATTATATTTATACTTTTTAATTGTAAAAAACAAATGATTATAGAGCCCGAATAATGTATTTATGGTGTTATTTGTGCTGAAACAGACTATGAAGTCTGTATTTAGTTGTATTATCTTCAAACAAACGAACTGTAGAAAATATGCATGTGTTTGATATGTGTCTGATATTTGTGTAGCAGAGGAGCAACAGTGATTCATAAAATGCTTCTTTTTTTGCTTTGTGGCTACAGCTCTCCTCACTGACCTGTAAAACATCCACATAAAGACAGAAAGTTTAAAGTTGTCATGATGAGCCAAATCCTCCAAAATCTGATATCCTTCAATCAAAAAGCTTTCACATCTTGTATTGCTCTTTAATATTCGAAAAAATATACAGTACCTTCTCCAGTTTCTTCCATTTGTGTTACTGATTCATAGACAGCATCATTACCTACATAAAAGAAACATCCAGCAACAATTAATTTAATGTTATTGGACTCAATAAATATCACATTGTCATACACTGCAAAGACCAAGTATTTGGAAACTATATAACTAAAACCAGAATTATGCAATATTTTCGTACTGTGAGTCTGCATGCTGTTGATATGAAGTGAAACACTAACATTTGGATTATTTAAAGTCTTTACAATTTTGTTTAACTTTGATCTATTTGTCAGTTGGCTGTTTGACACAGTTACTATGTCTTGCTTCTAGTGACATTCACTCCTTTTCTCTCCAAACCATACCTCTACCTCTCCTCTATTCCAACTGCTCCCAACTCTCACTGCAGATCACGGTGTCACAGGGGGAGTAGGTTCAGCCAGATGGCTCTCCAGCCCAATCGGGCGAAGGGGGTATATGGTAGGGCGTGGTCTGGGGTGCCGTGCAGGGAGGGCCCACGCACCTGCGCGGCAATTACGCCCACCGACCTACACAAGGGGTTGTTGTGTGTTGTGGTGTGATGTGCGGCTGGCAGTTTGGGATTGTCAGCCAATGCAAATAAATGGCTCATAATTACAATCAGTGGTGCTGTGGTGCCTTATTCACTCCACACATAGTTTACAGAGAGTCCAGCCTGACCTCATCAGTCAGCCTGTCCATCACCACGTCAAACAATAGAACTGATCCTTGATGTAATTCCACCTCATTGTTAAACCCATTTGTTACTACTGCTCACCTCGCTCATTGTCTTCATACAAGTCCTCCACCACTCTCACATACCACTCTATCAGTCTTGACCTCCTCATGCAAAGAAAATGCAGTACCGCAGTTCCTCTTTTGGCACCCTCTCAAATGCTTTATTTAGATCCACAAGGACTCCTGACATTCTCTGTACTTTTACTTTTGGCTTTTAACTCCATCTCAGTTCACATTAAAATGGTAATAATAACTGGTTTCAGTACTGACCAGGATGAAGGCGACTGCATTCATGACTTTCATTCTGACAGGAAATGAAGAGCTTTCAGGTCCGACAGCAGCTAGTGTGATAACAAACAGAATTGAAAGATGTTATATGAGACATTTTTACAAAATATAATTTAATAAACTATAAAACAGAGTAAGTTTACTTTACTTAAACAGGCACACATTTCTATCTGCTATACATATTTGCTAACGCAATACATGAGGACTGAGTTCCTTCTCAAACATTAAGATGGTTTTTAAAAAAGTCATGTTTAAATAACGTTGCAATGCTACTCACACTTAACCGACATGTAACGTGATGGCGACTCTTTTCCTGAGTACTGACACTTGTAGGAACCTTCATCAGATTTTGACACTGCCAAGAAGTTCAGCTCCTCTCGGGAATCATTTTGGATAAGTTTGTTATTGTGGTAAAAAGCCACACTGGGGAAGTTTTTTTTTATTCTCAAGTTGCAGCTAAGACTAACGAAAGTTCCCTTTTTCACAGGATCATCAGGGATCACCATGAGAGGACCTGAATAAAAATCTGAAAAACAGTCAGAATATATTGTTTCAACTGGATCAGCTGGTGCCGGCTTTCAGAAAAAAAAACAAAAACAAAAAACGCTTATTTGCAATAATAATAATAGATTTCATAAATGTCTTGTAGCATGAAGATGTGATATGTGACCTGGCTTATTTAATAACTATTCTATAAAAATAATAATTTCCAAATAAACAGCAGGTTTATGAACTATATAGAGCTTTTAAATAATAATAATAATGAAATAATAATGGATTGCATTTATACAGCGCTTTTCGGGACCCCTCAAAGCGCTTTACAATACCACTATTAATTCACTCTCACATTCATACACTGGTGAAGGCAGCTACAGTTGTAGCCACAGCTGCCCTGGGGCAGACTGACAGAAGCGAGGCTGCCATATTGCGCCATCGGCCCCTCTGGCCAATTGTGTCTAATGATATAAAAACCGAACCTCTAAGCTCCAGGGAATTTTTTTTTACATTTCGCCTGATTCAGCCTGTAACCAGCTGCCTTTTTGGAAACAACACTGTTTTAAATTCCAAAACATTCTTTTCCTAATTACAAGCCCAGAGTAAAATATGAAAAACATAAAAAAATATATTAGTAGCCATACTCAGTACTAAAACGTCAAGAGAAAATAATGATACAGATGTTATTGAATATGTCTAATAAAATAACACCAGCATTGCTCTAAATTGGACAAAACAGTAAGTGAGGCATAACTAATCATGCTTTCTTTTAGCTCACAGAGCCCTTTGAACTGTCGAGGTCAAGGACATTCACAGAGTTGTCCTGAATCCAACTCTGTGTGCTTAGGATCGTCGGCCTGTTGGAAGATGTGGCACTGTGGAGGAGATTATCATCAAGGGTGTCTCTGTACGTGGCTGCATTCATTTTTCCCTCAACACTGACTAGTCTCTCAGTTCTTGGTGGTGAAAACATCCTCACCACAGATGCTGCCACCACCATGCTTCACTGTAAGGATGGTAATAGTCAGGTGATGAGTGGTGCCTGGTTTCTTCCAGACACAATGCTCGACATCGGGCCCGACATTTTTGCTTGGTTGTTCTTTTGGAAAGTTTATAAGAGTAACATAACGAAATGTGGAGCAAGTGCTGTGAATACTTTTACTGCAGATGGTCCTTTTTGCAGCTTTTACATGATAATCTTCAGGAATATTACTTTGGTGTCACAGATAACATAACCTTTACATTTTTGCCTGTTTTTTCACAAAAAAATGTTTAAAATACAGAATATTGAGAGAAATATTTAAGAAACATTATAAGATACAAAAAATATTCTACATACCCTGTAAAGTGATGTTGACTGCATTGCTGAACTGTTTTGACATAGACTCGCACCAGTAAACTCCATCATCTGAATATGAAGCTTTTGTGTAGAGTGTGCATACGGATTCTCCTAGATTCCAAACATTACTGCAATACGGCACGCTATTCTCAGGGAACTTCCTCACTCTCCACCAAGTAGAGTTTCCCTTGCAGGTCAGTCTGACAAAGTCAAAGCTTAATCTTTGCTCTACAGGGCCGACTGTGAGAGATGCTGCTGAATAAAGATCTGAAAAACAACACGGATAGAAGAGTGAAAGCACAGGCACAACACATAAAAACTAAGTATCAAGCATTGACATGAGCTTAAATGCAAGTAAAAGCACATGGATCTGTTAAAAGAACCAAAGAAGGAAATTCTTACTTGATCATAGAGAGAAGGGAAAATGTTACATTTAGTCCTTGTATGCAGGGAGCACAAATGCAAATTGATCTTATGGTTATATAAATAATTAATGACATTAAATACAGCTTATCAAAAAGAGACAGAAACAAACTGACCTGCAGACCAGACAAACTTTGGTTTACTGTAATAGGTGTAGTAGTAGTTCCTTCCTCTTTGCGCTCTGCACACATATGCTGCTGTGTGTGTTTGTCCAGTAATGATGTACAAAGTCTGAGCAGTCTCGCTGCCATCTGGTAGCAGCTCGTACTTGTAGGCCTCTTCTTTTATGTCCAAATCAGGAATAGCTTTATACCAGTAAAAGCTCCATCCCTCCGAAGGATATTCAATCTCACAGCTCAGAGTTACTGAGGCTCCGGGACTCAGCCATGAAGGGGACACGGTGAGGACAGGTTGCAGTTTAACTGTTGAAGGAGGTTTTTTTAAATCAGGTTTTTATTTTTATTTTTTTATTTTTTATAATAACATTGCTAAGTGATGGGTTCACAAATCAGGTGAACAGCCAGCTTATCATCACTCTGGTTTGGCCTGTGTTCACTTTTGAACATAAATGGTAAATGGCCTGTATTTGTATAGCACTTTTACTAGTCCCTAAGGACCCCAGGGCTGCCCTTTGTCTCCGGTTCTGTTCATAATTTTTATGGACAGGATTTCTAGGCGCAGCCAAGTGGCGGAGGGCTTTCGCTTTGGTGGCCTCAGAATCTCATCTTTGATTTTTGCGGATGATGTGGTTCTGTTGGCTTCATCGGGTGAGGGCCTCCAGCTCGCACTGGAACGGTTCGCAGCCGAGTGTGAAGCAGCAGGAATGAGGATCAGCACCTCCAAATCTGAGGCCATGGTTCTCAGCCGGAAAAGCGTGGAGTGCCCACTCCGGGTCGGGGATGAGTTCCTGCCCCAAGTGGAGGAGTTCAAGTATCTCGGGGTCTTGTTCGCGAGTGATGGGAGAAGGGAGCCGGAGATCGACAGACGGATTGGGGCTGCAGCTGCAGTAATGCGGATGCTGCACCGGTCAGTCGTGGTGAAGAGGGAGCTGAGTGTGAAAGCGAAGCTCTCAATTTACCGGTCGATCTACGTCCTACCCTCACCTATGGCCACGAGCTGTGGGTAGTGACCGAAAGAACGAGATCGCGGATACAAGCGGCGGAAATGAGCTTCCTCCGAAGGGTGGCTGGCCTCTCCCTTAGAGATAGGGTGAGAAGTTCGGCCATCCGGGAGGGGCTTAGAGTAGAGCAGCTGCTGCTCCACATCGAAAGGAGCCAGCTGAGGTGGTTCGGGCATCTGACAAGGATGCCCCCTGGGCGCCTCCTGGGTGAGGTGTTCCAAGCATGTCCCACCGGGAGGAGGCCCCGGGGCAGACCCAGGACACGCTGGAGAGATTATATCTCTCGGCTGGACTGGGAACGCCTTGGTATTCCCCCGGACAAGCTGGAGGAGGTGGCTGGGGAGAGGGAGGTCTGGACCTCTTTGCTTAGGCTGCTGCCCCCGCGACCCGGCCTCGGATAAAGCGGATGAAGATGGATGGATGGATGGAAGTAAATTGCTACAAAATTAGAAACTGCCATTGTTATACATAAGACTAAATTTATTGATGTTATTTGAACCACAGCATGTCACAGTACCCTGTGTGTGGCACACATGAGCTAAGCAGGGAAAATGAACACACTGGAGAACACAAGTGAACAAGATCAGACTAATGAGACGAGTGAAGAAGAACTCAACATGCTCACAGGACAACAGACTGTAAAAACAGGACAGGATCATTTGGATGAAACAGTTTATATGGGTAAGACATGTCTGTCCAACTTACATGATATAGTGACTGGAATGACATTACTCCATTCTGTCAAGGAAAGCCCCATGTTGCCCCTGCATTGATAATTTCCATTGTCTTCCCAACCAACATTGTAGAATGTTCTTTCATTGGTTGTGTAATATGTGGTGAACCTTTCTGGTCTCCAGTCATAGCTCCAGTAAGTCCCTTCTCCTCCTGGGATCTCACATCTGACAGTGAATGCTTCACTCATGTATATCCTAGTCCAGTTGGGCTGTATAGTCAAAATGGCCGTAATAGGAACTGTTCACAGAAAATATTAAATTAAGAGACAGAAGCATCATTCAATAAATTTAATTTACTTGATGCCAAATCATGACAGCAATTTCCTCAACGCACTTTATATTATGAGGTGATATATGAAACCCAAATCTCTTCACTTCAAAAAAAGTCCTAGACTCACTAATACATCCAAAAGTGAACATCCTCTCCTGTGGGGATAAATAACCAGCCTGATCTTTGAGTTTCAGGTGAAGTGTCATGCTAGTCTAAATGCGTGTCAGCATCTTAACTCCACTGAAGTAGGCAATAAAGGAGGCACTAAAGAATCGCCAAAGTGCCAAATCACAACAAAAGTCGCCTCAAGGTGCTTTATATTATAAGGTAGACCAACAATAATAGATACAGAAAAAAACCCAACAATCATATGACCCCCTATGAGCAGCACTTTGGCGACAGTGGGAAGGAAAAACTCCCTTTTAACAGGAAGAAACCTTCAGCAGAACCAGGCTCAGGGAGGGGCGGCCATCTGCTGTGACCGGTTGGGGTGAGAGAAGGAAGACAGGCTAAAAGACATGCTGTGGAAGAGAGACAGAGGTTGATAACAGATATGATTCAATGCAGAGAGGTCTATTAATACATACTGAGTGAGAAAGTTGACTTGAAAGGAAAAACTCAATGCATCATGGGAATTGGAGTCTATTAGATAGATATGATACAAACCACTTCAGCGCAATACCTGTAATACCTACAGCATGTTCTAATCGCTCTATTAGGATATTATGTTTGACAGTATCAAACGCTGCACTAAGGTCTAGCAGGACAAGCACAGAGATGAGTCCACTGTCAGAGGCCATAAGAAGATCATTTGTAACCTTCACTAAAGCTGTTTCTGTGCTGTGCTGAGCTCTGAAACCTGACTGAAACTCTTCAAATAAGCCATTCCTCTGCAGATGATCTGTTAGCTGTGGTTTAATTTCTTCTGCTTGAAAGCCCGATGTATCAGGAACATACAGTACAGTACTTAAATTTCTATCTTTCAATTTACAAACAAACTCTGTGAAACAAGTGAAAAATTTAAATAGCAAATTCAAGCACAAGTCATCATTGTTATTTCCATGTCATACTTCACTAATGTAATATTACTGACAGAAAGACAAAAAGAAGGACAGAGAATTTAACTTTCATAACAACGATATAAATAGCTAAACTCACGAGTGTCTTTAATGATGGCCTTATCACTGTTGTATGTGTGGCGACCTGAATCACTTCTTCCTCTGCAGGAGTAGAGACCTCTTTGTGATACAATAATAGCTTTCTTCCCTTCATATTCTGTCATAGGCTCTTCTTTAGAACCAAATGAAGCAGCACTGTACCACAAAATCGTCCAGTTGCCAGAGCCCTCCACAGAGCAGCTCAGTGTCACGCTGCCCCCTATTGGTAACTGATACCTTGTTGGTCTCAGTATGGCAGTGGGTGTTTCAAAAAGGTACTTCACTTTTCCAGTAGTATTTAGAGAAAAGGGCAAGAGAGAGAGAGAGAGAGAGAGAGAGAGAGAGAGAGAGAGAGAGAGAGAACATTAACGTGGTATTATTATAATATTATATTATTGTAATATATAATATAACGCATTATTTTTTGTTTCTGAGTGAGTTTTATTTACTGATGAAAACAATTTCACAAATCTGAAACCTCTTTTTAAACACTATAAAAAATATAATAAAATATAAATAATATAGAAAATATAATATAAATACTAAGACAATTAAACTACAGAAAATGCATTGCCACACTAATTAACCATGCACATGTGCTCATAGATTAGGAGAAAAAAAATACATGACAAACGTGTATCATAATGTTTCTTGCAATAATACTACACATGTACAGCATGCCGCATTTTGAGTTTAATACTAATAGGAAGTTAATCTGATATGTCTGGGATGTGTTATTGTATTTTAAAAGCTGTTTCAGATATTTTGTTTTTGAACAAAAATAGCTAGTAACACTGAGCAGCACAAAACACAATGTTCAACTCATTGAGCTGAAACTAATAACTTGAATAAACATTTTAAAAATTATGCAATCCAACCAATGCAACATCAGATGAACACTGAATATCCTGTGTTCATTGGACGTTTCACCTCATCGTTTCTGAGCCTAGCCAGGCTCAAAGACAACAATAAACTCAATATGAACTGTTCACATTAAAACATCCATTTAGGAGATAAAAAAAAAAATCTGATCTTTATAACGTATGAATAAAGTAAATGTAAGAAGGCTAGTTGGGTCAAGGACAAACTGTAACACAACAACACATTCACAAACTATTATGAAAGCAACTTAAATTTATAGTCTTTATTTTGTGATAGTTCTTATTTTCTTTTTATTTCATGTCATATTTACTTTGCCCAAGTATTAGCCTTTACCTGTCAGGAAGAAATCTTTCCTGAGGCTTACTGTATGGTCTCATTGTCATAATAGCACACTTTAGCCAGTGTTAGAAGTATTTCTTATTCAAAAATGAACCCTGTAGAAATACCAGTAGGCCTAATCTAAATTTGTGAGATAATCACTACAATTAGGAATATAGTATGTGTCTGTGGTTGCACTTGTTTCTCCACCAGTGGTTTCTGCTGGATAACCTAAAACCTCTGCACCAAACCTCATGGCTGAGTGCAATATTTTCTCATGTGACCAACAACATGTGAACTTAAAATATAGTACAGAAACATAGAATTAATAGTTTTATGTGTAAAATATAAATACGAAGAAAATGTTAATTTGAGTGTTACTCAGACTGAAATAAAAGAAAGCAGTTTCTTACCTTGAGCATTGCCAGAGAAGAGTGATGCGAGCACTAGAGCAAAGATTAAATTGAGACATTATGAAACTGAAAATCATAATCCGCATTCTCTCTCTCTCTCTCTCTCTCTCTCTCTCTCTCTCTCACACACACACACACACACACACACACACACACACACACACACACACACACACACACACACACAGCACTTAAACAGCACTTCTGCACTTCATCTCTCACAGTAGAAAAACATTTCTTTTAATTATTGCCATTCGTAGAAAATACTTACAAAATAACCCCAGCAAAGTGTGTCTCATGCTCATGTCCATCACTGCTGCTTTCTGATACAAAGCTTATCTCGAGGTTTCCTACTTTGCATAAATAATGCAGAAGAAAGAGAAGTTATACACTGATGAAAGCTATTTTGGAGAAAGGTATACATAATCTATGCAAATCATACAGAATTTACTCTATTAATGCACTCAGCCAAAGAATTATAAAGTAATGGGATAATTATACCCTGTTAAGAATAACAACATTACATCAAAAATACCCCAAACCAAATATACATATGTATATATATATATATATATATATATATATATATATATATATATATTAGGGGTGCAACGATACTCGTATCGGTATTGAACCGTTCGATACAGTGCTTTCGGTTCGGTACGCATATGTATCGAACAATACAAAATGTTTTATTTATTTTATCAACTTTTCTTCTGATGATGCTGTCTGTGTTGAGAGCTCAGTGGATCTGCATTCGACTACTCCGCCTAGGCTGCACTGTTGAGCGCAGATCCACTGAACGCAGCACAAGCTAGCAAGACAGAAGCTAAGCTCGTTGCAACATGGCAACTGCCTCAACGCTACCTGAAATTGAACCTCCCCCACCCTAATTCAGATCTGGCGTTTGGAACTATCTTGGTTTTCATGTGGAGTATGACCCTGATGGTAAGCACGTCATGGACAAAAGTAAAACAGTATGTCGGATGTGCCACGCAATGCTCAATTTGTGGGAACTAGTGCGTTAGCGCAGTTAGCTTGTTAACGCCGTCCAGCCCCACGCACGGGGCGATCCGCGGTAACTCGTTAACAGAGATTTGCCGCGTTATGGCGTTAATGTCATTTTAACGAGTTTAAAGCTGACAGCACTGGTGGGAACACAACGAATATGACTGCACATTTACGCCGACATCTTCCTAGTGCAAAGACAAGTGGAAGCAGACAAAAACAACAAGCATGCATGCTACAAACTTTACCCGAGTCATTTAAACAGCCGATAGCACATGATTCTCCTTATGGGGACCACCACCAGTAGGTAACGGGTGAAGTGTCTTGCCCAAGGACACAACGACCAAGACTGTCCAAGCAGGGGCTTGAACCGGCAACCTTCCGATTTCAAGGCGAACTCCCAACTCTTGAGCCACGATTGCCCATGTTATATTTATCTGGAACTATTCCTGCTCATGATTTTCTTTATTTTCATAATGTGCCATTTCATTACACGTCTGTCTAAAGTTTGCTAGTATTTTACTAACAATTGGGAGATGAATGTGTGGTTGAAGGAGCAAACTTTCCCTGTTGTGTTGTCACCACTGTTACGTCCTGTCCACGCTGTTGTTTGTATTGATTCATTTTTTTCAAAATTAAAATTGAAGAAATGGAGACTTGGACAAGTTGTAATAGCATAATATCCTGAGCTGGACCAAGATATTGTTCCTAATACTTTAATAAGCCCACTTGTGAAATAAATAAAAATTGTAGAAAACTTAACATTTCTACGTTGAAGTGAGTGAAATAGGAATAACCCTGTCATAATCTTGGATCACATGTTAGCTAGTAGAATTGGGGATCTTGTGAAAATTGTTAGAGTAGTGAATAGCGACACATAGAAACACGTACACACTACAGACAATAAGTGTCATAAAGTGAGATGTTGCAGACTTAGCTTTAGAAATCTATGGGTCAAATCATCACAGTTTAAAACTGTGACTGTAAAAGTGTTTCTTCCTTTGCATTTCAGGTTTTGTCTTTTATTGTCAGTTTTTGAATTCACTTTAAGGAAATACAGGATTCTCAGCCCACACTTTAGACGCGCCTCTGCTTGAATGGGTGTAGCACAAAAGTCCAAGGCAGGTACAAACCTGGAATTTTGTTTTCACCAAATATGACAAACTCAGTGAAGCACAGTCAGAGGCAGCCTACCTAAAAAATAAAGCAATGCTTTATCACAACTGCAGCTTGAAGCAGGGCACATGTGCTGTCTGATATGAGCTGAAAACAGCCAATCAAACCACCCACAAAAGTACCAACAAATGTAATAAAGTCATCACTGTGTATGAGCAGAACAAGACAAGCAGCTTACCTTTTAGTTTTTTTGAAATCTCGATTGAAAACCAGCTTAAAATGCTCTGAAAGCTTGTTGCTTCAGACAAAGGAGTGAATGAAAAAGAAAGACAAAACCATCTGTTATATAGCAGAGAAGCACCGCCCAGACGTTAACACACAGGTGAGCTACCTGCTAACATGTGAATGTGTGTTCAAGTCACACAATTCACATTATAGTTCTCTTTTTCTTTTTTTTTTAGAAACTTTAGTGATTTTTCACGGTGTCCTGTTGATTGAAGCCATACTAGAATTTCCCTCTTAACCCCACCTACTCAAAACTGGAAGTTACTGGCAGTCGTCAGTATTTATTTTGGTATACTACAGTGCGCTTGTTGTATTCAGGCAGCTAGTTATAAACTCGCTGCCACCTCCTAGATTCAATATCTGGAGGAGTTAATACCAAATATGCTGGAACCTACTGAAGCTAAGCAAATCTCTCTTGATTACAGTATTCATATGGCTTCTTTTCAAGTTCTTTATCAAACCTTAGTCTTGCTGTTACATGCCAAAGTACAAGAACAGTCCATGCGGGTTTCATATTTTCGTTTTGTTGTAGCTGTCTGAGAAACTCAGATTGTTATTGATAACACGTCTGAAATAGTTTCCATCATCATCATCTTTCAGTGCTGAGCTGAATTAAGATTATTGAATTATCCTTGGCATCATTTTAAAACAATTTTAGACCAAAATCTAATTTACAGGCCTTTGACAAAGTGTTATGTATATCTGTAGTGTTTTGGTTGCTTCTCCTGAAACCAACTTTTTAATAATGAATTTGATTCAAAACAAATACAGTTTTTTTTATAGACTTTCTTGACAAACATTACAAAGAAATAACCAACTGGGACCTTGAATGACACAATTTACTAAAACCAATTTTATAGACTAATATTCTTCATGTTTCAACACAGTTGTTTGTGTTGTTTCCCACATTCTTTCAAAGTAAAACAGCTGTGGTGTTGTGCAAGTTTGCAAGTCTGCTCTGAATAGAGTTCGCAAATTTTAAAAAAGCATTCTTCATCTTCATAGTCAAAAACAATAACTAGTCTCTTTTTTCAATTAAATATATGAGATTAGTTACTCAAATCTTGTGTTCAACAACCGAATCCTGTATTTCATTAGATTTTAAATACATCTTGCCACTGTATCCCTGCTTTTAAATGTTTTCAGGAAAAGTTTTTCAGCTGGATCACCTTCAACAAATTCGAGCTCATATTTTAATTAGAACAGTCTTAGAACAACAGGACTATTGCATTGGGTAATCTGAACACATATT